CGTTACAAACTGTTGTAAGTCAAAGATTACCTGTATGTACCCGCTATTTCTATAACAACAAACTTATCTGTTCAGTAAATCTCAAAGTCAGAATTTAATATTTTCTGTCTTGATATAAAATCTAGAAGCAGTTATTTTAAGAAAGATAATTGGATGCATTTTTTTTAATTAAAGCAGTTAATTTGGACATCTCTGCTAATTACATCAGTTTTTTTCAGCCATTCTTCCATTGTGGAAATTATTGTATCTTCCCATCTTTGCACATAAAGCATTCTTGTTCCAGTTAGTAGATACAACAACAAACTCCCAAAAAAATTTTTCAAGTTCCTTGTCCGATAAACCTAAGAGGAAAATCTCTGGTTTGAATTTTATATTCATTTTGAGAATCTTCTGCAAGGTTTATTATTATTTTAAGCAGATCAGTAGTACAAATTCCATCACTTTTTGTTAAACCCTAAGAACCAACAACAATAGGAGGAGTTACTTGTGAGTAGTTTTTTTTATTGTTGTTAATTTATCAACTGAAATCTTGCCAGACTATTTGCATAACTATAAATATACTCTGTGAACTGCTAGAAATAGAATAGAATAACAGAGTTGGAAGGGACCTTGGAGGTCTTCTAGTCCAACCCCATGCTTAGGCAGGAAACCCTACACCACTTCAGGGAAATGGTTATCCAACATCTTTTTAAAAACTTCCAGTGTTGGAGCATTCACAACTTCTGGAGGCAAGTTGTTCCACTTATTAATTGTTCTAACTGTCAGGACATTTCTCCTTAGTTCTAGGTTGCTTCTCTCTGTGATTAGTTTCCATCCATTGCTTCTTGTCCTGCCCTCAGGTGCTTTGCAGAATAGCTTGGTTTATCTTAGCCCTCTTCTTGCCTATCAGACATTCCAAGCTGTTCTTCCTCCTTGCCCTCAGTGAAGCAACCCCTCCCTCATGGGACTCCAGACTTCATCTCACCACACTTCCACATCTCTGTGTGATGTGGCAGCTCATTTGCAATGGTAGTGGGTCATCAGCACCTCTTCTTTCATTATTCTCCATCCAACGCACACCAATTCTCTATGTTATTCTAATGGGAACAGGCCCCATGTAGATTTGTTCTAATTCTGCTCTCTGATTATCATATTTCAACTATCAAAATGGCTCCTTGGTTCCTAAAACAGAATATGCCCATAGGAATGAGACCTTCGACATAACCATCCACTCAATGTGGCTTAGAATGAATGGTTGAAGGGCTGCTTACTTTTAGTGTTCAGATGCAAAGGAAATTGTGACATATCCATTGAAAAACTGACAAACCTAAGACTTCCGGTGCTGCACAATATTGTATGGTCTATACTTTCCAGTGCTACATCTGATCAAAACATGCAACCAGCAAATTAGCAAAAGGTCTACATTTGTAAGTGATGGATCTTGTCTTCTTCCAGAATAACAAAAATTAGAGTTGGTAATATTGGCTTGGGATCAACAGCAACATATCTCAACATCTTGCAGTATTAATTGGATATAGAACAGTTCATTTTTCAAGCAACAGTCCAACTCTCTTTTGGCTGATATTTCAGATTTCCAGGCATTTAAGGAAAGAAGAAACATATTGGCAGTTGTATTCTTCTACTTCTGTAGATGAATGGCAATCATTGTTTACTCAATTGTAAGCCATATTTTCAAGGACTGAGGGTTTCATAATATATAAATTCCCTGGTGTTCCCAGACAGGCTGTCACACAAGCATACAAATTCATTTGTTTCCTTCCACTATTTGTTACCTCCATAACTTACCGTACAATTAAGTTTGAGTTTCATTGGATCTTAATGTCCATAGACTTTGTAGAGTGGTTCTTAATTACTTGCTGTTTGCTTTTTATAATACTGGCTCAAGAGATTACTCCGTAGTAGACAAGCATGCTTAACTCCTTGTTCTCCAAATTCTGGGATTCAACTCTCACTATAATTCTAAATATGGGAACTGGAATGTTAATGTATCTGGGAAGAAATGATATGGAAAGATTATTACAAACACCATCCTTCCCCAGTTCATTTTTCTTTAAAGAATCTGATATGGGGAAAGCTGGCCAAATTCCCCATTTTTTTAGGAGAGGGGGAAATAATCCAAGTACCTGTCTAGTCATCTTGAGGTTACAATGGCACTGAAAAAAGTGATTTATGATGGTCCTTGCACTTAGAGTATGACCATCCCAGTGTCCTTCCGGTGACTTGATCAATTTGGGTATTTGGCAACCATCACATACATACATACATACACACACACATACATACATGTTTCAGTGATCCAGTGGTCACCTGATTGCCATTTGTAAACCTTCTCAACTGGCTTCAGTGGGGAAGCTGGTAGGAGGTTGAAAGTTACTGTGATGTCTCATTTAATGACTGCAGCAAAAAGGGGGTAAAATTGGTACAGGCATGTGATGCCTCACTCAAGGACTGCACTGGTTAACAATTAATTTTCCAGTCCTAATTAGGTATAAAAACCAGCTGGGTTAATCTCTCTCAGGTCCACCCACTTCTGTATAATAGAATCAGAGCTGGAAGAGTCTTGGGAGACTTCTAGTCCAGCCTCCTAATTAAAAGCTTCCAGTGATGGGAGTATCCATAACTTCTGAAGGCAAGCGTTCCACTGCTTAGTTGTTCTCACTGTTAGGAAATTTCTCCTTAGTTCTAGGTTGCTTCTCTCCTTGATTTGTTTTCATCCATTGTTTCTTTTCCTTCCGCCTGGTGCTTTGGAAAATAGGTTGACTCCTTCTTATTTGGGGCGGCCCCTCAAATATTGGAATACTGCTATCATGTTACTCATGGTACTTCTTTTTCACTATCTTTAATTTAACTTTAACTTTTATTAGACTTCTATACCGCCCTTCTCCCGAAGGACTCAGGGCGGTGTGCAGCCATATTAAAACACATAAAATTTACAAAATTTAAAAACCATTAAAATCAAATATACAAAAATTTGGCCCACAAATTAAAAACTAACATATACCCATTAAAATTCATATTCATGTTAGGCCAGCCCGGCTTGTTGAAATAAAAGGGTCTTCAGGGTGTGGCGAAAGGTGCGCAGGTTGGGGATCATACGCACATCTAGGGGCAGCTCGTTCCAGAGGGCTGGTGCCCCCACAGAGAAGGCTCTCCCCCTGGGCACCGCCAGTCGACATTGTTTGGCCGACGGCACCCTGAGGAGCCCCTCTCTGTGGGAGTGTATTGGCCGGTGGGAGGCTGTTGGCGGCAGAAGGCGGTCTCGTATATACCTCGGTCCTAAGCCATGGAGCACTTTAAAGGTGGTGACCAACACTGAATCGCATCCGGAAGACCACTGGGAGCCAGTGCAGCTCGCGCAGGAGAGGTGTTACGGTGGTGCAACGAGTCGCCCCATAATCACCTGCGCAACCGCATTCTGAACCAGTTGGAGCCTCCGAGTGCTCTTCAAGGGGAGCCCCATGTAGAGAGCATTACAGTAGTCGAGACGTGACATGATGAGGGCATGAGTGACCGTATGCAGGGCATCCCGGTGCAGAAAGGGACGCAACTGGCGTATCAGGCGAACCTGATAAAAAGCTCCCCTGGCCACAGCCATCATATAATCTTCCAAAGACAGCCGTGTATCCAGGAGAACACCCAAGTTGCGCGCCCTCTCTGAGGGGGTCAGGATCTTGCCCCCAATAGTCAGCGATGGAACCAGCTGACTATACCGGGATGCCGGAAGCCACAGCCACTCAGTCTTGGAAGGGTTGAGTCTGAGCCTGTTTCTCCCCATCCAGATCCGCACGGCCTCCAGGCACTAGAACATTACATCAAGGGCATCATTGGGATGGTCCGGGGTGGAGATGTACAGCTGGGTGTCATCAGCGTACTGGTGGAACTTCACTCTGAAACCATGGATGATCTCACCCAGCGGCTTCACATAAATATTGAACAGAAGGGTGAGAAGACTGACCCTTGCGGCACCCCACAAACAAGGCGCCTCGAGGTCGACCTCTGTCCCCCTGCCAACACAAACTGCATATGGTTGGAGAGGAAGGAGAACCACCGCAAAACGGTAGCCCCCACTCCCAACCCCTCCAATTGTTGCAGCATGATACCATGGTCGATGGTATCAAAAGCTGCTGAGAGATCTAATAGGACCAGGACAGAGGAACAGCCCCTGTCCTGAGCCCTCCAGAGATCATCAACCAATGCGACCAATGCCGTTTCCATGCTGTACCCCGGCCTGAAGCCCGACTGGAACGGATCCAGATAGACAGCTTCATCCAGGTACTGGGTAAGTTGTTATGCCACCACACTCTCAACAACCTTCGCAACAAAGCGAACGTTGGAGACTGGACGATCGTTCGCTAGTACAGCCGGGTCCATGGAGTCCATCTCATGGGGTTGTCATTGTGGAACAAATAGGAAGAAAAAGGTGTATTGTATATATTCATAATCTTGAGTTACTTATAAAGTACCAAGGCAAGACAAACCAAAATATTATGGTCATATGTTGTGGACTTACCTGTATTGTAAAGCAGTTTCCTTTAGAACAGGGGTGTCGAACTCACGGCCCACGGTCTGGATGTGTCACATGCTGGCCATGCCCACCCTGGTTTAGCAAAGGGGCGAAAAGTCCTGATATGTCACATGACGACATGACGATGTGAGTTTGACATCCTTGCTTTAGAAGTTTAGATGCACTATAGAAGGTCTCTTTTCTAGGTGTTCAGGGAGCTATCCATGGTCCTGATAGTCAAAATACTCGTGCAGTATTTTGGTTGGAAGCCTCCATGAATGTCTTTTGCCTTGAACTGAATCTTTATTCCTTAAACCCAGTAAGATTGAAGAATGCTGTATGTGTATCGTTCCTAGTTCTATTTGCACAAACACTCACCAGGTTTACCTACGGGGTATATGAAATGACTGGATATGCACAATATTTGCCCTTTGCAACCAAGCAGATGTGTTGCCGGATTCCTGACACACGTTCTTTTAAAATTTCACAGATATCTGTGTTAAAGCTTTCACACTTTATTCAATATTGCGGTGCTCTTTTTAGAAAACGAAAGACAAAAAGTAAAGCAGCAAGAAATAGAATCAGATTCTAGTGCCTATGAAACATTCGATTTTCCACAAATGTTACAAAACAATGTAGCTGGAATTGGTTTATATTTCCTATTGTTGTTCAATTTCTGCAAACATTCAAACAGAAGTAATGATCTATCCCTCTTCTCCTACTACTTCTTCTCACCTTAATTCATATTAAAAATTAAGGGGCCTTCATGCATTACATAAAACAATTTCATCATAACTTCCCCCCCCCCACAGAGCTACTAGTCTGGTGCTATATTGAAAATTGTAATAATTGTCCCAATACAGCTGAAGGGCACTAGGTTGGGGAAGCTCTTTTACTGAGAAAAAGTAGAAACTAGAAAGTTTAATCAGCTGAAAATAGCTGTGAAGGAGAATCTGGGCTGATTTGGATCTCTGTTAGAATAACATTGCTTAGGTTTGGTATAACCTCTTCTTCTTCCAGCATCCAAGCCCATGTATTTTTCATATTAGACTTTTTCCAAACACAAAAATTATTTGATGCACTGTGCTTGTAGAAATTCAATACTACTGATAGTTTTGATTAAATGTATCCAAATATCGTGTTTTAATTCTTCATGGGCCTACCTTTGAAGAGGATTTGGAAACTGCAGCTGCTGTAGAATGTGAGGGGCGAGCAGTATGTGCATGTAACACCTTTGCTTCTGGGTCCAACTCAAGGTGTGAGTTACTACCTGGCAACACAGAACCAGATGCTTGGTTCTTGGATGTCTGAAACAATAACACAGGAATGGAGAATCCATGGCTCTTCAGATGTGCCTGAACTTCCAATTCTTTCTCCAGTATCCATCCTGCCTAAGTCTGCCAGGAATTTTAGTTCAGCTATACCTGAAGGATTATATATTCCTTACTAATGTAATGAAATAAAGAAGTATTAAACTGTCCAAAAAAACATGTGCAAAGTGGATACCTCATTCTCTTTCCTACCCCTCTGTGAATGACTATTTAAATACCCTACTTGTATATTGAGCAGTATTGCACATTTATGAGATATGAATTCTCCAAAGAGTTACAAAGAATAACAGATTTCTCTCACTATGGAGCTGATGTCAGTCACATTATGGATGATGTCACAGGTTCTGTGATTTTCTTGGTGGCCATGAACATCCTAGAGTGACATTGATAGGAACATCACAGAGTGTCACATTAGCAAGTGCAACTGAGCTGAGAAGAAAAATCAGGCTTTCTGATTGGCAAAACACCATTATATGAGTGCCAGGAAAATACTGTGTCTGAACAAGCAGCTACTGACTTCAATAATTTCCTACAGCAATGGAGAATTAACAGAGATATTAAGAGCAACTGGAATAAATGGATCAACTGGAAAGAAATGATGTTTATTTCAAGAGCTTTTCCTCCTCTGGAGGATGGATGGGAGCATGGAATCTTTATAGAGAGAATATTCTCTCCTGAGATATAAACCTTCTCCATCATCCAGATCATGATTGTCCCAAAGTGCTTTTTTCAAAAGGCAACTGGACTTTCTTGGTTTTTGTTTGAAAACATTTCATTTCTCATCCAAGAAGCTTCTTCAGTTCTAATTGATGGTGGGGAATGGAAAGGTTTATAATCTTGGAAGTCACCTGATTATTAGTACTCTTTCTGAGAGTCATTGAAGCTACTTGGAGGTTCATCTGTATCCTGAGACTCAACTGAATCAGAACGTAAACGGATGGGGAACTTTCTTGGAACTGCTGAATTTTCCACCCTCATTTACACTCTTAATTCAGGTGACTTTGAGAATAGAGAAAAAGTCCCAAGTGGCCTCAACAACTCTCAGAGACCTAATGACTGTCCCTAAGTGAGATAATGACTGAATGATTGTAAAGAATATAAATCGCTCCATTCCCCACCCATCAGTTAGAAGTGAAGAAGCTTCTTGGACGAGAAGGAAAATGCTTTCAAAAGAAAAAATAAAAGCAAGAACCTCCAGTTGCCTTTTGGGGGAAAAAATCACCTATGGGCCCTCTCCCCGGGCACTGTTTATTGTTGCCTGGAGAAGAGGTTCTTAAAGGCATTGTTGTAATTCTTGTTGAAGGCTGTATAGATCAAAGGGTTGAAAAATGAATTGGAATATCCGAGCCAAAGGAAAACACTTTTGCAGGCTGGTGGGATGTCACAGGAGCAGAGGGAGCTGATGAGTTCAGTGACGAAGAAGGGGATCCAGCAGAGGACAAAGACGCCAATGAGGATTCCCACCATGAGGGCAGCTCTCCTCTCTTTCTGTTCCCGCCAAGTGTCTCCATCCGTTTGGAACGTCACTGTGGCATGGCGGGCGGTGAACACAATCTGTGGGTGCTGGGAATCCTCCCTGATCTGCGAAATAGAAAAAGCATCTTTAGATTATTGCTTTGCTGGCCAGGTTGTCCTGTTACTGAGCATGAGAGTATTTCTTGAAAGGAGGAGAAGGTTCTGTGGACCAGAGATTCATCTACAGCTGAGCTGTCAAACTCCCGGCCCGTAGGCCACGCCCACCCCTGGTTTAGCGAAGGGGGGAAAAGTCCCGATATGTCACATGACACCGCCGTGACCACGTGAGTTTGACACCTCTGATCTACAGCAAGACCTACAAGCCACTGTTGAATATTTGCTGTCAGTTGCTTGTGGCAAACAAGAACATTGATTGTACATTGGCATTCCATACAGACAGCCCTAAACGTACGACCGTTTGTTGAATGACCATCCGAAGTTACAACAGTAGTGAAAAAAAAAATAACTTATGACTGATGGTCAGACTTATGACCATCACAGCAACCTCAAAGTCAAGCGATCAAAATTTGGGTGCTTGACAACTGGTGTGTATTTATGATGGCTGTAGCATCTCCAGATCATGTGACTGCCATTTGCAACATTCTCAGCTGCCTTCAGAAAAGCGAAGACAGGGGGGAAAACTGGGCTCACTTAATGACTGTGTGATTCACTTAACAACTGCATTGATTTACTTAATAATCATGGCAAAAAAGGTGGTATAATTGGGTATTACTTACTTAACAATTGCCTTGCTTAACGATGGAAATTCTGGTTCCAGGTGTGGTCATAAGACAAACACTATCCATATATGATGCTAATACTACTACTACTACTACTAGGTGCCAGGAGTATGACCTCTAACCCCAACTCATTTTTATTTCTAAATAAAAGATTGTAAAATGGAACAAAGTCCACTTAACTGTCTCGTTTAGTAACAGAAATTTTGGGCTCAATTGTGGTCGTAAATTAAGGACTACCTGTACAGTACTGGAGGTTAATTGTGGCACACTGTCTTCAAATTTACATGTATGATTGCACGTTATATCTTTATTCCTTAAGACACATTCTTAGACAATTAAGCTAGCTGGATGAATTTGGGCCAATCATTCTCTCTCAGCCCAACCAACCTCACAGGATTGTTGTTACGGGGAAAATAGGAGGAGGAAGGAGCATTTGGTATGTTCGCTGCCTTATTTATAATAATAACAAAGGTGGAATAAAAATCGACTAACTAATTAAATAAATAAAATAATGTCCATATGGTATTTATTATAATATTTATTGGCTTAAACTAGGAACCATAGCTCATTTCAAGGAACCAGCAAAATAAAGTACTGGAATATTCAAACAAAAAAATTTTGGCTTCTGATTGTCTGGTCCAGCATACTTCCTAATTATATGCCAATCAATCAATTCTGATAATGCTGAAAGAAAGATTGATTTAACATACACTAAGGCAGGCTGTCTTGCAAAGAACTGCCTATTGTGTTTGTCTTTGAATTTTCCCAATTGATCTTTTTGTTTGTGCAAAAATATCTCTGGAAGAAGACTGGAACTGCCTGAAGGCTTTTGTTGACTCACTCACAAGGGATTTCTGGTGTCTCTTTGCTTCCACAGCAAGATTACCTCTCCAGAACTGAAGTGATGGGGCTGAAGTATTCACACACACACACCACACACACACACACACACGAAATGGTGGCAACTTCCTATAGAAAAGCAAACGGAGTTGCTGTGGGAAAGCAGTGGTGTGTTTTTCTTGGATCAAATGACTGCAACATCAAGCACCAGAAAGGTGCAGCATGAGTGACATTACCACAATTCCTGTGATCTGTGGAAAAATCCCAAAACCTCTCTACGATCATTTATAGGCCTGTTTTCTTTTTCACCATCTGAAGGAACTTTCTATTCCGGTGTTTCTCAACTTTGGCAACTTGAAGACAGGTGGACTTCAACACCCAGAATTTCCCAGCTAGCAAGCCACTTGAAGTCCATACCTCTTCCAAGTTGCAAAGGTTCAGAAAGACCAAGGTATCCCCATAAAACCTCAATCGCTTTCCCACTTTTTTAACTGCTGTGGCTATGAGAGAGGGCTATGTGGCCTGATGCGTCTTCTCCTTCCTGCCTTTGTTATTTTGCTCATAAGACAAGGTGGGACTTCAGTTTCTGCCTGCAACAGGGTATCCAGGAATGGCAGCTGTGGAGCCAGTTGGTGGTTAAGCCTGCCAGCTAAGGAATTCTGGGAGTTGAAATCTACATCTCGTTAAACTGCCAAGGTTGAGAAACGCTGCTCTATTCCTTAGATTGTAAATTTCATGGTTGTGTATTTTATTCATGATCTCCAGCAGTTCAAGGCAGCCTATAGAGCATTCCTGCCTCTAATTTTCCCCTGCAACATGTTGGGCTATGAGTGACTGGCTGAGAGTCGTCCAGGGAAGATGAGCTCAAGTTTCCCAGCCTTGGCACAAATCTAATTCCTGTGCTGCCATTTCCCACTCCGGATTCCCCAAATTTACACAAGGAGAGCAGCTCCTCTCTCTCGTTATTTGCAAAGCTTTCTCTAAGCCTCCCCCAACCTCTGTCAAGCCTTTCCTAGAGCGCCAGGCACCAAGTTTGCCCCACCAATAGCAGTCTGCATCAATGAGCCCACTTGGTGGCTTTGGGATATTGTTTGTTCGACGGCCCAAAGATGGAAAACGTCAAGGCTTCCTGGTCCAAAACCTGTCAGAGGTGCTAATTCAACATTCAATCCCAGCTGAACATTAGGGTAACCTAAATTGTCATGCATGTACCCTAATGTTCAGCCAAAATGTTGGAGATGTGAATGTTTGGATGCTACGTATTATCATGTTTGGTGGACCTGTAGGAAAGTTAAGGCTTTTTGGATAAAAATTTGGTGGGTCATGCAGAATGTTTTGAAGAAAAAAATTCAATTTTCTCCACAACTGTTTTTATTGGGTATAGTTAAGGGATTTACATTGGGTGAAACAAAATTGATATTGTATATGATAACAGCAGCAAGATTGTTGATAGGTAAATACTGGAAGAATGAAGCTTTGCCCACTATCGAGGAATGGACTTTGAAAATGGCCAGTTTTGCAGAGATGGCGAAGATTTCAGCATACTTAAAAGATTGTTCACAAGAGACTTACGAATGGGAATGGAAAAGGTGGATAGAATATGTTCAGAACAAATATCAAACTAGAAAGTATCAAATAGCTTTTATTTGAAAATAATGTATTAGAAATATTTTAATGTAATGACGTAAAGAGAAAAATTATACAGGGGAGGGAGGGGTTCAAGTTTATATATAAGTGTTATATTAAGGGTTTTTTTTTTTGTTGTGTTTTCTTTTTACCAGTTATGAGTATATTATAGGGAAGTCTGGGGGGAGGGGAGGGTTAGGGAGGGTTAGGGAGGATGGGAAGTTTGGGGGGGGAGGTGGGGGGGGAAAAGGGGTGAAAATGTAATTGTAAAACTTTTGCAATAAAAAAAAAAACATTCAATCCCAGCCACAGGACTTTTAGTTCGTGGTCTGATGATGTGGGATTAAAGTCTGCGGCTCTTGAACGCCAGTGGTTTGTTCGCAGTTGCTCGGGTGAGGATCAGGTCCAAATTTTGCCAATGGCGGAGAGGCTTTCGGCAGCCAACTGGTATATTGATGTGGATATCAGGAACAACAAATACATTTCAAGCGAAAGGACATTTAAACTGGGATTTCTGTATGCAAACACAGTGCCCACCACAGATTTATGACTTCATACACAGAGACTCTGAAAAGAGTCGGCTTTTAAAATGGCCTAGCTGCTAATTAGGTACCAAAATAAAGGGCATTTTTCGCACTAGAGGTAGTCCAATTATTTAGTGACTGTTAAAAAGTTACAATGACACTGAAAAAACTGACTTACGAATCGTCCTCACACTTACGACCATTGCAGCGTCCCCGTGGTCATATAATCAAAATCCAGATGTTTGGCAACTGGCATGTACTTACGACAGTTGCAGCGTCCCGGGATCATGTGATCATTTTTTGTGATCTTCTGACAAACGAAGTCAACGGGGAAGCCAGATTCATTTAACAACCGTGTCACTAACTGAACTGCAGTGGTTCACTTAATAACTGTGGCAAAAAAGGGTCGTAAAATGTGGCAAAACTCATTTAAAAACTGTCTTGTTAAGAAATGGAAATGTTGGGGTGCATGAAATGGAAATGTTGGGGATCTTGAAGTCCTAGTGGACAACCATTTAGATATGAGCCAGCCATGTGCAGCAGCTGCCAAAAAAGCCAACACAGTTCTGGGCTGCATAAACAGAGGAATAGAATCAAGATCACGTGAAGTGTTAATACCACTTTATAATGCCTTGGTAAGGCCACACTTGGAATACTGCATTCAGTTTTGGTCGCCATGATGTAAAAAAGATGTTGAGACTCTAGAAAGAGTGCAGAGAAAAGCAACAGAGATGATTAGGGAACTGGAGGCTTAAACCATATGAAGAACGGTTGCAGGAACTGGGTATGTCTAGTTTGATGAAGAGAAGGACTAGGGGAGACATGGTAGCAGTGTTCCAATATCTCAGGGGCTGCCCCAAAGAAGAGGGAGTCAAACTATTCTCCAAAGCACCTGAGGGTAGAATAAGAAGCAATGGGTGGAAACTAATCAAGGAGAGAAGCAATTTAGAACAAAGGAGAAATTTCCTGACAGTTAGAACAATTAATAAGTGGAACAACTTGCCTGCAGAAGTTGTGAATGCTCCAACACTGGGAGTTTTTAAGAAGAGATTGGATAACCATTTGTCTGAAGTGGTGTAGGATTTCCTGCCTGGGCAGGGGGTTGGACTAGAAGACCTCCAAGGTCCCTTCCAACTCTGTTATTCTATTCTATTCTATTCTATTCTATTCTATTCTATTCTATTCTACTCTACTCTACTCTACTCTACTCTACTCTACTCTACTCTACTCTACTCGTAAATTCAAGGACTTGTTGTAAATCAAGACCTGGCCAAAATAAAACAAAAACTGTGCAGTTGAAGTCAAATTAAGATATGGGAGGAATTTTTTTTTTATTACATTGAAATTGTATCAAACCCTGCTCTTTTTCCTCCTGCAAGTGAAAAAAAAGGGTGATCTGGAATGGGATAAACCATTACATACGAAGAGATTAGGCAATACCCAGTCCTGTCAATCTCAGCAACCGTCTCCAAAGTAGCTTTTCAATTACGGAAAAGTAATGAAGGGAAACGGATTAGTTCGCAACGCTTGAGTTTGTTCCAAGAAGCTTATGTTATCCTCGCCATGCTGAGCATGAATATGAAGCCAGAAACCTCAACCTAATCACACTCGCAGCCACAAATGATAGAAATAGTTATGGGGATAAATCATTTATGGGTTTCCAGGAACTAAATTAGAATTTCTCAGCCTCTTTAAGAAGAGGGGACTTCAACTCCCAGAATTCCCCCAGCTGGCCATGGGACATACACTCACCCTACCACAGAGTGTAAACAGTGAGCATGTGCTTTTCACAACTCAATGCAGCTTGGGATAGGCAGTGCAGCTGTTTACACATCCACACCAAATAAAGGGAATCTGTTGAAAGTGCCAAAGCAAACAAAATGAATGCGAGATGGAGATGGGGGTGGGGAAGGCAACATGGAGTGATGTTTGTGTAGGCTAGGTCCCCTCCTTGCCGGGCCTGGACCTTTGCTACTTGTCAGACTGTGTGTAAGGAATACATGGCAGGAAGGGTGTCATGAATAAATGCCCAGTCTGTGGGTTGATAATGTCCTTCTTTAGAGGATGAAACACCTAAATTTGGATTTCAATTTAGGCGCACGAGAAAGTTGAAGTTCAGAGGCATCACAAACAGGTAGTCCTCATCTTACGACAGCCATTTAGTGACCATTTGAAGTCAGACTGGACCTTCTTGTTGAATCCTTCTAGCCAGGATTTGAGGTCCCAAAAGTGCTACCTCCCGTCACCCCCCCTTGGTCAAATGACTTCACTTTGGGTGCTCGGCAACCAGTTTGGTTGCCACAAAGAAGAGGGGGGGTCAACTTATTTTCCAAAGCCCCAGAAGTTAAGACAAGGAACAATGGATGGAAACTAATCAAGGAGAGAAGCAATCTGGAATTAAAGAGAAACTTCCTAACAGTTAACTAGAACAGCTTGTCTTCGGATGTAGGTGCTTAATCTTAAAAAAGAGCCCTGGTGGCGCAGCAGACTAAAGCACTGTTATTAACATCAGCTGCCTGCAATTACTCCAAGTTCGAATCTCACCAGGCTCAAGGTTGAATAAGCCTTCCATCCTTTCTAAGGTAGGTAAAATGAGGACCCAGATTGTGGGGGCAATAAGTTGACTTTGTATAAATATACAAAAGGATGAAGGCTATTGCTTAACGCATTGTAAGCCGCCCTGAGTCTCCGGAGAAGGGCGGCATATAAATCAAATTTAAAAAAAATCACTGGAGGTTTTTGAAGAAGAGACTGGACTGGATAATTTGTCTCAAATGATTTAGGGTCTCCTCTTAGGCAGGGAGTTGGACTAGAAGACCTCCAAGGTTCCTTCCAGCTCTATTCTCTGAATAAGCATTGATGGATGTTTGCAGCATCGCACAGTCATGTGACCACATTTTCTTGGTCCCCAGGTCTGCAATGCTTTTGCCAAAAAAAGGCACTTACTTCCACTTTTCAGGAAACGCATACCCATAGCAAACCACTGGTTTTCTTAATGACCGTGGCATTTGCCTCCAAAAAAGGCTGTAAAATCGTGTCCATCACGAAAGATCCCCAAATATCCACGGAGGGCAGAAAAACAGGGAAGTAACTAATAGGCTGACAATATTGATCTTTCTGGCTTGAGTGGTCGGGAAAAATCTGTTGATTCCTGCCTGCTACTCTCTTTCTCTTAAAAAGCAATGAGATAAATCTGGGGAAGTTCTCTTTTAGTGGAAGCTGTTTCTTTTCTTTTTTTTCTTTCAACTTGGTAATTAAGTTTCTACTTCAGCTGAAGGGCAAACATCAACCAAATGATAGTTGACCCCAAAAATTCAGGAAATGGGATTAAAGACCCTGTTAGTCCAAAGCCTACCAAATATAAATTATTTTGCAGTTTTTGATCTAAGTCTTCAAAACAAAAGAGAAATGAGAGAATATTAGGTATTAAGAGGGTCACCCCTTTGAGTTATATAACCTACATGAAAAGTGCAATTTAAAAAAATCTAGCAAATAATGATAAATTGCTTTTGTAGTGGTGGGAAACTGGGAGACCCTGAGTTTTCTAGTTCCATTTTAGGCATGAAAACCGGCTGGATGATTTTGGGCCAATCATCAATTGTTGTGTGAGTTCTGGTCCTACCTTAGGCACAAACCCAGCAGAGTGATATTGGGCCAGTCACTCCCTCTCAGCCCTAGGAAGGAGGCAAGGGAAAATCACTTCTGAAAAACATTGTCAAGAAAACTGACAGATCCATTCAAAGGAAGCCAGGAGTCAACACTGATTCTAGCTAGCTGTGCGACCAACTGTAATAACTATAATGAATCATGGTTTATAAGCAGGAACACTGTTGAGCTGAGATCTGAACCCTGGAGCAGAAGTTCACAATTGCCAGGAACGTGGTACGCCTTGCTTAAACGAGGTAAGGGTCAGACAAAGACTGAATGAATGCTGCATCCTAACTAAATCTTTGTGCTAAGCTTACAACTTGGGTGGTAAAAGGATGGGCAAAGCACTCACCTCTAGAACTCCGGGTGTAATTGGACTGATGGAATTGCTCTTACGGGATCCAATGCGAAACCTGGCTGCTTTGTAGATCTTCCAGTAGACAAACAGCACAACGCAGAGAGGCACATAAAAAGCTCCACAGGTTGAAAAGACGGTGTAAGAAGGTTCCCGGCTGACTTGGCATTCAGCATTGCCCTCGGAATAAGTTTCTCCCCATCCAAAAAGTAGCGGAGCCAAGGAGATAATAGCAGAGAGCAGCCAAGTGACAGTTATCATAAGATTGGAAATACGCCGGCGAGTCTTCAGCGTGTATTCCAAGTGCCGCGTTATGGACCAGTAGCGATCGAGTGCAATGGCCGTCACGTTCCAGATGCTGGCCGTGCAGCACAGCACGTCACAGGAGACCCAGATCTCGCACAGCAGCCTGCCCAGCCGCCAGCGACGGCCAGACAGTTCGTATATCAGGCTGAGGGGCATCACCAAGGCAGCCACCATCACATCAGAAATGGCCATGGAGGCGACCAGGTTATGGGGTACCCTGTGAAAAGTACGTACCCGTAAGATGGTGGCCAGCACCAGCAGGTTCCAAAGGAAGGTGGCAACCCCCAGCATGGCCAGCAAAGTCAAGATGAGGACTTTGAAGACTGACAAAGGTTTACCCATGCCGGAAGGGCTGGGCAAGAGGCCAGGATCGGTCCAGTTGGGCTCTGCCAAAGTGGTGGCGGAGAAACAGGTGAAGTTGGCGGAGCGGTCCATCCTGCAGAGGTGAGTGGAGAAGATCTGCAGAGGATGAGAACAGACCGAGAGGCTTCTTCTGATTTTAATCTCCTACAATAATATCTCCCAATAGCTTCCTTAAAAAGGAAGTTATTGTGGGAGGTGCCTCTTATTTTAGAAGCCGGTGCTCTGCCACGTGGCTGGTTCCAGCAGCATCAACCTATCGGTGGTAACCATGAATTGCCTCCAGAATGTGGCCACGAGTAATCTTAAAGCCATGTTAGAATTTCTGCCCCTGGAAAGAAAAGAAAAGGAAAAAAACAAAACAAAACACCAGCAGCCAGATTAATAAAGAGAGACCCTCTGTCTGAAGTTGCCCTGTATCTACGGCACTCTTGCAACAACAGACAATCAAGATTAAACACAGGCTGATGTTTTATATGCAAAGCAGAAAAGTGGAACTGAGATATTCCCAGTTGTATTGCTATGTAGAACGTCTATCCCTCCCCCCCACCACACACAAGCAGGAATCCTGGTTCTGTAGCTCCCAAACCATTTTCTCCTGCTGGGATCACACCTATTTAACTTGATTTATCACTAGCAGCTATGTGGCAATCTTGGCTGATCCTCAAGGATCTGGTTAGTATTTATTTATTTATTGGTTCGATTTATATGCTGCCCTTTTCCGGAGACTCAGGGCGGCTTACAAAATGCGTTAAGCAATAGCCTTCATACTTTTGTATATACCTGCTTAGTAGAGCTTTCGCCCCCTCCTAAGCGGTGTTCTTTTTTATACAAAATCAGCTTATTGCCCCCACAAACCGGGTCCTCATTTTACCTACCTCGAAAGGATGGAAGGCTGAGTCAACCTTGAGCCTGGTGAGATTTGAACTTGCAGTAATTGCAGGCAGCTGGTGCTACTTAACAGCACTTTAGTCTGCTGCGCCACCAAGAACTTGGATGGATGACCGCTAGGAAACCCAAAAGTATAAGCAAGATTGGGAAGAAAAAAAAAAGTCTCGGAACGATATGGTAAGTCACTTCTTTAACTGCTGCCCAAAAAAAGATGAATGCAGAAGACAAAGGCAATGTCACCAGCAATCAATCTCAATACGAGGAAGAATTAAGCCATAGCAAGTTGGAGGCATCTGGCTGAACCCTGCTGATTTCCAGAACCTGGGAGAGCCTGACCTGGATATATTAGGATGAGTAGGACACCCTGAGGTATGTGTTAGTTCTTCACCTGTAGTGACAACTGTACTGAAAAGAGAAAAAGTTCCCCTTCCAACAACAAAATAACAGAACTCTTTGAATAAGGCTAATCCCGAGAAGATGCCATTAAAACATAGATGCTTCCCCCCCCCCCCGTTACCTTTCCATACCATATTTCAAGAACACATTTAAAATAAAACCTTTCAGATTTATAAAAATCAATCTGCAGCCTGAGCGGCAACAAGGCTTTTAATATCCTTATGCTAAATCCATTAACACAAGGAAAGCCTAACTGTGCACCACAGTAGTAATTTAGCAGCATTAGTTTCAAGTTTATGATAAAAGAGGGAAGGGAAAAAGGCAGCAGCCAAAGACAGGGGGTTTAAGGGCAGCCCGGAGTGTGGTGGGATGGAAAGGGGGAAGGGCAGGTTCATTCAAGGGAAAACTGTCCCTGAAAATCATCATCGATCAAACTGAACTTCCATTCTGGGATATAGTGAATTTCTTGGAAAGCAATAAATGGAAGAGGCAGCAGTCTTACATAGGCTGTCCTCTTCGGACTTCCCATGTACATACGGATCTGGGATTTCTACGTGGTCTCTCCTCCAGCTCAGCTTCAAGTATCTTAGGCTACCTCCTGGAGTCAGCTGGATCGCCAGCCCTTCAAAGGGGTGAAAACCGCTAAGCAAAGGAGCGGGGTTGACCTCCAAACACATCTAGCGACGCTTTTCCCCACCGCGACGCAACGAAGTCTGGATGAGCCTCAAGCGCAACCCACGCGCCCGCGGAATCACTTCTGGTACTTTGAAGACTCGGGAGTGGCCGGGCCTTTCCGATTTTCGGAATCCGCGGAGGAAGGGGACAAAATCTGGAAATGGACCTTCTGGGAGGGTAGATGGAGTGAGTTCTCTGTGACCCGTCCACAAAGCGGAGCTACCAACCTCAGCTCGGCGTCTAGCAGAAAGCCCCGAGGTTTAAACCGAAGCGCCAGGCTTCGGCTGCTGGTCTCGGGGGCGGCTTCAGCCAAAAACACCTCCGGGGCGTCCAGAGACTCTGCCGGCCCGTTTCGTCCAGCACGGACGCTGAAGATTCAACGCTCTGAGCCCAGCTGGCAAAGCAGGGGAGGCGTATTCTTCCAAGCGATCCCTAGCAGATCTCAGCGCCATCCTATACACTTCATCTGACGCGATCGTGGAAAGTCGGCGCAATCCGGAGCGCGCCTCGCCGGGACCTGGAGCCCGGGGGGCGGGGGGGGGGGAAATCGTAGGGGTGGCTCCGCCTCAGCTCCAGAGCCCCTCCCCCACCTCGCACCCCTCCCTAGGCGCGGGAACGAAATACCTGAGCGGTCTCTTTCAATCTCCACCTCTCCGGCTGCTTCCCAGCCGCTAAACCGAGGTCGGCTTCTCCAACACCGAGACGCACCCGTCAAGTGACGGTCGGCGCCTGATCCTAGTACAGGCCAGTCAGCTAGGAGAGCCCATCGCGTTGCGCCCCCCGCCCGGATTGCACCGTCTTCCTCCAGAGAGCGGCAGCAGCTCCGGCGTCCGCCCGCCTGCCTGCCTCCCTCGGGGGTGGGGGGTGGGGGCTCGAGGATATCCCCTCCGCTCTTTTCCTCCTTCGCCTTTGATGGAGGAGGAGGAGGGGGAAGAGAAGTTTATACGTCCCCCCTAGGCTTCCCCTCCGTCGCCCAGACGCCGCGAGGAAACGCGCAGCACTCATCACATGGGAAAGCGTACATATATGTAGACACACGCACAGACACGCGCCAGCACACGAAGAAAGGGTTTCCGGCCCCTCTGACGGAGAAAGGCGCCAGGGAGAGAAATGTGGAATTTCAGTGGCAAAGTCAGTGAAAACTGAAAATTGTCCTTCTTTTGGAATGTTAACCGCAAGCGTGAAAAGGCCTTAGTTTGTGGTACTTCTGTTTTTTGTGCATCACAATACAGAAAAAAAAAAGGGGGGGGGGGAATGTGCAAGGCAGGGGAAACAAAACCAAGTGTGATTTCAGAGGATGAATTCGCATCATTCGAAAGAAACGATATATGTGTTGGCCAATAAATAAATCCAATTATGGCAGAAAGGTTGGGCAGGTTCACACAGTGCCTGCTGAGAAAAATGGTTGCTAATTGAACCCACAATGGGTATCCAAGTGCCCCAGGGGTGGGTTCTAAATTTTTTTACTACCGGTTATGCCAGCGTGGCTTATTTTGTGAGCGTGGCTTGGTGGGGGGTAATGTGACTAGGTGGGTGTGGCCAACTTTTTTTTTTTAACTTTTAAAAGCATTTTTTCTACAACCTTAAGAGGTTGCAGAAAAAAATGCTTTTAGAAGCCTCTGACGATCAGGCAACTCAGCTGGGATCGCCAGAGGCTTTTAAAGGCATTTTTTCCCCTACAACTTCTTCCGCCAAAGAGGTTGTAGAAAAAATGCTTTTAAAAGTAAAAAAAAAAAGCTGATGAGGTGGGCAGGGTAAGCGAGCAGCGACCGGGCGGGGGACCTGTTCCGGGGCGTGCCCAGCCAATGTTATTACCTGTTCTCTGAACTACTACAAGTTTTTACTACCAGTTCCTGCGAACCGTGAGCAACCCACCACTGAAGTGCCCCCCACCATTAAAACCCACTCCCCTGTTACATATCCTTGAAGCTGACTGGCAAGTAGTTGAGAAAACTGGTGCTTCTTCAGATGCCCGAGCGCCATTTCAGGGTTCAATATCTGAAAATAAAACCAAAATGTAGGTTGGGTGAAGGAAGGAATCAAAATGAAAAAGGGCAGAAGGGGCAGATTCCATCTCTTTTAAACCCTCCCGCCTTTTTAGTGGCAACCTTTGGGAGTAAGGCTGCTTTTTTTTCTTGCCTGAACTTCTACTTCTCCAACTCAATTTCTTTTACAGTGTGAAAAGAACTTTCAGTGTGAAAGAAATTTATATAGATATAAATTCTGGGAAACAGAAAAAAGAGAGAAAAGGACGATCAGCAGCTAAAGGGATAGAATCAATTTTACCAGTGATGAGTGCATTGGCAAAAGATCTGAAGGATCAGGTTGGGAACAGAGAATCTTGGACAAAGTCGATCTGTGTTGTCTAAGGCACAGGGCAAAAAGTCAGGAGACTGTGAGTTCTAGTCCCGCTTTCGGCATCAAACCTGGCTGGGTGTCTTTGGGCCAATCACCAGGAGACTGTGAGTTGTAGTCCCGCCTTAAGTATGAAAATCAGCTAGATGACTGGGTTGGTACTCTCTCTCAACCCAAGTTACCCAACCTACCTCACAGGGTTGTTTTTGTGTGGAAAATATAGGAGGAAGGAATACATTTGCCACCTTGAATTATTTAAAAAAAATAAAGGCAAGATAAAAATAAGATTAACGTTAACTCGATGCACATAATGAAGCATCATATTGTGTACTTTTTTCATCAGAATTCTGTGAAATATCGTTATAGGTGGTTTCCCAAATTATTCCCTTCTTGGTTTTTGCATTCTCTCTTGTTGGTATTTCCTCTGCACAGGGAAACAAGTAAGGCATTTTTCCAGACTTCAGGCACAAATGCTGTCTTCACACACCGTTAAACATCATCCTTCTGTATTTACAACAGTGGTGGAATCCAATTTTTTTTACTACCGGTTCTGTGGGCGTGGCTTGGTGGGCATGGCAGGGGAAGGATACTGCAAAATCCCCATTCCTCCCCACTTCTGGGGGAAGGATATTGCAAACTCTACATTCCCACCTGACTCTAGGGCCGGCCAGAGGTGGCATTTGCCAGTTCTCCGAACTGCTCAAAATTTCGCTACCAGTTCTCCAGAACCTGTCAGAACCAGCTGGATTTCACCCCTGATTTACAATCTTACATTCTTTTAGGAAATCCCTTCTATATTTTAATATTGTTCAGTTATGCTATTTATTCCTGCAACCTTGCTATTTTTCAACCTTCTCACAGCATTTATGATTTCCTTTTCATCTTTATCCCCTAACAACATATATTTCGATTCATCATTCAGCATAAACTATCATTCTCACACACATTTTTGAAACACTTCCGTTAGGATTCTTCATTCCAGTTTGCGAAACACAGCAAGTGGGGCTGGGCAATGCCTAGAGTTTGGACAGGTGAAGCTACTAAAAACCTGTCAAGGAAACAGATGGCATTCGTCACAGAGAACTGATGATGCCCTGAAACTCAATTGCCATTGATTTGGGGAGCCTTTCTTCTGTGTGCCAAAAAAAGGGGGGTTGATTTGTACATTGTTGGCAAGTTGGAAAGCATCTAGCGGTGGAGTCCATCAGGAAAATGCTGACATCGTGTAAGGATGGTTCACTTGAAAAGATCAAAGGAGGAGGCAGAAAATTCAGAGGCTTTGTTATCTCCACCATCTGCAGCCTTTACAGCACTTTGAACTTACTTTTGTGGGTTGAGTTCAGCATTCTCCCATCTGGCACCTTCCAGATGTGTTGGATCCGCTACTCCCAGAAGATGCAATCAGCTTGGCTTGGGAGTTCTACCTTGAATCCACAGAGAGGGGTCAATAAAAGTTTCCCTCTTTTTCCCCCCAGTTATGACCTTTGGTTTTAGAATGAGTTTTGCAAAACCGTTTCTTGACTCACTTCTCATGCTTTTTGACTGAGACACTTTTTTTAAAAAAGGGGGATTTAGAATATATAGAGGAATAATGCAGATATCCCTGAAGAAAGAGTTCAATAACCATTCAAGATTCTGTTATTATATCTTGCAACAACAGGGTGTCAGTCGATCTTGCGGCATCTGTATTTTGAGCTGGTCTATCTCCCAAAACTCCCAGATCAATTTTGAAAACCTCACAGTGATTCCCTCTCCCTCATCTTATACTGAAGAAAATCAAAGTCAGTCAGTCTTGAGTATCTTTCTCACTCTCTCCTTTTCATGGCTAAGCTGTTTTTCACATTTATTATGATCATGTCAGACAGGAGGTTGAACAACTAGCCTTATGGTGCAACCGGAACAATCTGGAACTGAACACACTCAAAACCGTAGAAATGGTGGTGGACTTTAGGAAAAACCCTCTCATATTACCACCTCTCGCAATACTAGACAACACAGTATCAACAGTAGAGACCTTCAAATTTCTAGGTTCTACCATATCTCAAGACCTAAAATGGACACGTCATCAATCAAAATCAAAAACGTCACCAAAAAAGCACAACGAAGAATGTTCTTTCTGCACCAACTCAGGAAGCTGAAACTGCCCAAGGAGTTGCTGATACAGTTCTACAAAGGAATTATTGAGTCTGTCATCTGCACCTCTATAACTGTATGGTTTGATTCTGCAACCCAACAAGACTGACACAGACTTCAGAGGATAATTAGAACTGCAGAAAAAACAACGATAATTTTTTAAAAAAGATTGATTCTCATGGCTTCCCTACATTGGCATTAATATATTTGCAGAATTATGCCTGAATTGAGTCCTGACTGAACACACTCTTACGTTCCCCACATCTCCTGGATCAGGAGTGTCAAACTTGATTTCATTGAGGGCCATATCGGAGTTGTGTTTGACCTCGGGGGGGCTGGGGTGGTGGTGGTGGGTGTGTCTAGCTCAACATCACTCATGTTGGGGGTGCCTGTGGTGGCTTGAACGCTCTGCCAGTGAAAATGAGCTCTCAAGCTCCGTTTTCAGCTGCGACAGCCTCCTGCAACCCTCTGCCAGCGAAAACGGAGCTCGGGGAAGTGGGGGCGCATACCGCCCTCCTGAGCTTCGTTTTTGCTGGCAGAAGCACCATGGGCCAGTTCTTTGTTGTTTCCAGGGGGGCCTTGCGAGCCAGATCTAAACACCCCACGGGCTGGATCCAGTCCCCGGGCCTTGATTTTGATACCCTTGCCCTGGATTCTTGGTGCATTCCTGATTTTAAAACCAAGTACAGGCAGTCCTTGACTTACAACCATTCTTTAAGTAACGGTTTGAAATTATTACAGCACAGAAAATGGTACTTATGACCAGTCCTCACACTTATGACCGTTGCAACATACCCCCCCCCCCACAATCACGTGATCAAAATACGGGCATTTGGCAACTGGCTTCTGCTTATGACAATTGCAGCATCTCAGGGTCATGTGACAACTCTGTGTGACCTCAGACGGCTTCCAATGAGCAAAGTTAATGGGGTACGCTGTGTTTGCTTAACAACTGCCTAATTCACTGAACAAATGCAATGATTT